CCAGGGTGTCCCCTAGTCCTCGCTTCCCCTCATGGAGGGCGGCGAAGCCGCGACGACGCGAAGGCGGAATACGGCGGCAGCGGGCGCGGAGGCGGCGGGCGGGAGAGCTTTTATTGAGCCATAAAGGTGCAAAGGGGAACCGGGCCGGCTTGGATGTGGTACCTCAGGGGGTGGCGGGGGAGGCTGTGGGCCTGCCTGGGGGGCTGTGGGCCTGGCCTGGGGGCTGCAGGCCCGCCTAGGGGCTGTGGGTCTGCCTGGGGGGGCTGTGGGTCTCGCTTGAGGGGCTGCAGGCCTGCCTAGGGGCTGTGGGCCTGGCCTGGGGGGGGGGGGGGTCTGCCTGGGGGGTTGTGGGTCTGGCCTGAGGGCCTGCAGGCCTGCCTAGGGGCTGTGGGCTGCAAGCCTGGCCGGGGGGGCTGCAGGTCTGGCCTGGTGGTCTGAGGGTCTGCCTGGGGGGGGCTGTAAGCCTAGCCTGAGGGGAGCGTGTGGAAGTTTGGGCCCGGGAGGTTTGGGCAGCTTCAGGGAGGGTTGTGGACCCTCCCTTCAGGTTCAGAGAGCCGGGGGCAGGGGGGCACCACGGCAGTGGGGCAGGACAGGCTGTCTCTAACCCAGCTGGTCCCCATCATCTTTTGGCAGTTCCTCCCCTCCGGTGGCCTCCGTTGGGTGCTCGTCATTGTTGTCCTTGCCACCGTCGCCCTCCGAGCCGGTCTCGTCGGAGTCGTCATCCTCCAAGTAACGGTAGCCGTGCATCTTGTGGCGCGGGCGGGGGATGCGGGGCAGGCGGTATGCCACATGCTGTGCCACCTTGTGCTCCATCCAGAGGTAGGCCCCCACTGCCACCGCCAGCGTCAGCAGCATGATGGAAAGCTTGGCCTGCAGGAGGGCAAAGCAGGGGATTAGCGTGGCACTGCACCCCCCCCGAGCCTGGCAGGCACCGGAGGTGGCACCCGGCCATGCTTACCTTCATGGGCAGCCCCGACCACAGGTAGACGGTGAAGATCGCCAGAGCTTGCCACCAGTGGTAGATGGTGAAGACAAAGTCTTGGCGCTCCTTGTCCTCGTACAGCACGCCCAGGAGGACTGCGCCAGAGGAGACCAGCTGTCAGCATCCCCCTCCCGTTCCAGTGTCCCCTCTCAGGGCACTGTTAGCAGGATCCAGCTGCAGAAGGCCTGTCCCGCTCCTTGTCAGTGGGTCCAAGGAGCTGGGGACCAGCAGGTTGCGGTGCCGGGGGATACGAGGAGAGGATGCACTGGGGAGCTGGGGACAACCTGGCTGTGCCAGAGGACAAGAGAGGCTGTGTCGGAGATCTTCCCGGTACTCACTGCTAATGCCAGTCTTGTTGAGGGCGCTCCCCATGCCCCAGAGCACAGCTATGGAGTAGAGCAGAGGTGCCTGGACCAGGTGCCGGGGCTCGGGTGCCCAGCAGAAGAGAGTCACCAGGAGGGCAGCGTGAATGAGGGCTCCGGCCAGGAGCGGGATCTGCCGCCTCAGGCGCAGCATGCAGAGGGCCAGGCTGGAGCAAGCCGAGGCGGAGAAGCCGTAGGCCATGAGAAGGTACGCCAGATTCTCCAGCCCCAGGGCACACACGCCGTAGTTCTGCAGCGAGGACAGGCTCAGCGTCACCCAGTTGGGCTGTCCCCGTTCTGTCACCCCCCTCCCCGCCCCGTCCCCAGGCTCTACCAAGGAGAAGCCGGTGCAGACGAAGAGCACCTCGAAGCCGCTGTAGATGAACAAGGGGAAGAGATGGCGCAGGCGGTAGTCCCGCATGTGCTTGAAGGGCAGCTGGAAGATGTTCCCCCAGCCGATGCTGCGCAGGTCAATCTCTTCCGTGGGCCGATACGCCGAGCCGCAGAGCACCAGGACCTGCCGTGCAACCGTGGGTGAGGCACTGCCGACGTTCTGTCCCATCCCCTGCCCAGCCTGGCACTCACCACCAGCATGGCAAGGAAGGCGGCCGCCATCAGGGCACTCTCCACAATGATGAGGTTGATGCTGCGGGGCAGGCTCTGCAGCACCGTCTTGTTGAAGCCGGGCAGCGTGCCGTGGCTCAGGGTCCCTGCCGGGGAGGGCGGCACACATGCCATGGCTCAGCCCCAACTGGCGTGGTCCCCGTACCACTGCACCATCCCACACCACACACCACCCACGCCTGCGCGCTCACCGCAGTGCTTGACCCCGAAGAGCGTGTGGTTGAGCTGGTAGAGGTAATTGTTGAGGAAGAAGAGCATGGGCATCTGAGCACAGACAAAGCTTAGCTGCAAGACATAGAGGGGGGGATGCTCAGTGCTGGGCTGCCCGGCGTGGCCCCCTGCCCGCGCCTTGCCGGTGCTCACGTGGAAGCAGGTGTAGAAGACGGTCTGGAAGATGATGATGTAGGTGTTGCAGGCGCCCCGTGGTGCCCGCTGCTGCTCTTGCACGTGCTCCTCCTTGTAGTTGACGTACTCGTAGTACTTCTGGGCCATCCTGCAAGCCATGGTGGGTCAGCTGGTGCTCCCCGGTCCCCCTACCCACCCTGTCCGCCCCCGCCGCTGCCTACCGCGTGATGTAGTTGCCCATGGAAGCCCAGAGGGGAACGATGGCAACCCCGATGGCCACAGCGGAGGGCACCAGCGTATAGTAGCGCTCCCAATAGTTGCTGGAGACGAAGAGGGCGTAGATGCCCACCGCCAGAAACATGGCCCACTTGGTGCCGAAAAACCTGCCGGGGCGAGGAGGGAGAAGCGTGGGCCCCTGTGCCGGTGTGCGGGCGGGGAGTGCAGGCGGCACCGTACCTGATGAGGACGGGTGTGTAGAGCAGTGCCGCGACGGGGGTGACATTGATGCCCATCAGCACCTTGCGGTCGATGTCCTCCAGTTGTATGTTGCTGTACTTCACCTCCCGGTAAGTCTCATCGTAGTGCAGGATCAGCTGCATTTGCAGGAGGCCTGAGGGGGGAGTTCCAGCAGCTGTCACCCCCTGCCCTGAGCCCCCTACACCGCAGTGGGGGGTCCCCAGAGAGGGGCAAGGCCGTACCCAGGTAGACACCGTAGGTGAGCGTGCCGGCCAGGCTGGCGGCCAGCACGTTCTTGATGACGCCGAGGCGCTTGCGGCGATAGTACTTCTGCTCCTCCTCCTCCTCGTTGTAGTCGGGGTGAGCACCCACAAAATCGTCCAGCTGCGGATGACCCCAGCCGTCAGCCCTGGGGATGGCCACTGCAGGCCTGGCCCCCCACGGGTCCCCCCCCTCGGCCTCACCTGCGTCTCCGTCCCCTCGGCGCTCAACCCATCACCCGCCACCATCTTGGCCGCATCCTGGTAGCAGCTGGGATCTTTCTCCATCGCCGCCTCTGGGCGGGGGGAGCCTGGATGGTGTCAGGGCTGGGGTGGGGGACACACTATTGGCACCCCTAAACCCTCTACCCACGTGTCTCGTACGCCCACAGCTGCATCCATGTGCTCAGCACCCCCAGCCCCCGCACCTCGCACCCTCGTACCCTGCACCCCTAAACTGTGCACCCACGTGCTTTGCACCCCTGCGCCCAGCACCCCCACACCGGTCCCCAGCCCCCTGCTCCCCGGTACCGGAGCCATGCAGGCCGGCCCGGGCAGGGGGGGCGGAGCGGGCTATGCTTCCTCTTTCGGATGGGACGGGGCGGGCAGGACC